TATTATTATTATTATTATTATTATTATTATTATTATTATTATTATTATTATTATTATTATTATAAAGAATAATCAATCAAAATCGTACTAAACCAGTTTTTTAGTTTTTTCCTTGCAAAGTAAAACACAAATAACGTGCGCGATTTAGCTGTGCAAATGAACAATATTTGTCGAGTAAGACTTCTGCCTTCCTCTCTTTTGTGAAAAAACTACCTATATATTTAAAAGGCCCGTAGCCAGCCGTAGGGCCCGACGGGCCCGGGCCCTCTCCGAAATTCCGTGAACCCTAAAATTTTCCTAAATATGTGAATCATGTTTTAAAAATATGTCTATCGATTACAAGCCATATTTTTTATGACAACTTCACGCTTTACTGGTGTTTGAAATTTCCCGCGCAATTTTTCGTGATCCAATTCGAGATATACCGATCCGAATCAGAACTCACACTCAGTTGCAGTTTCGATAAGCAACTGTTACCGCCAGTAACTTACTAGCGTAAGTTAAATATTGTTTACGAGAATCGAAATTGAAATGAAACGTACACAAGGCCAAACAAGAATTGTTGGGTTTCTCAAGAAATCAAAAAATAATGAATTGAAAGGTAAGTAATGTGCATTTTGACCTTACGAATAGCCGGAGACATGAAAGTGTTCGCATAACCTCAAAGTTTGAGGCTCAAACGTCAACACTGATTTTTTTCGTAGTTTTTTTAAGTGTTACAAATGAATATGTGTACAGCTTCAATCCAACAATCAAATATCTATTAACAGTTTTGGCAACTCTTCCGGTCATAACGGCAAGTGTGGAAAGGTCATTTTCGACAATGAAAAGAATCAAGACTTACTTACGTAACTCAACGGGCAACGAAAGACTTAGTGCACTCGCCGTACTGTCAATTCATGGAAACTTAGGTATCGACCCGAATGAGGTTCTTGAGATTACGGCAGCAAAGATATCGCGAAGGTTAAAATTTTAAATTTTTTCTACTGAAATTGACGCTTTTGTTTGACAATTGATGTGTATGTGCGTGACTGACAAAATACAGTGATGATATTAATAACAAAAAAGCAGTTTTTTACTGATGAGTCCAACTTTAATAACAAATATCCATCAACCATTTCCGCCCCCCCTTCCACCCAAAAAATTATTACTACGTTTTACCAAATTTCTGGCTACGGGCCTGCACGCAATGCTTTTGATTCAAAAGTTTTGAAGTCCACCAGATAGCGCGCGTTGCGAAAACCCGATACTTCTTTAGCGTACCTATATGACTTTTTTTGCATATACCTGTCACTGTTTAAACAGAATCGTCACTTTTCATTCGAATTTTGACGCGCTAAACTCGAAATAGTTATTTGTTTTACAAGTGTTGAAAAGCGACTTTTTCATGCGAGTGTTTAAGTTGCTCACAAGGCCGTCAGGCCGAGTGTGCATTAACACGATCTTGAAGAAAGCTTTTCTTACAAGTAAAACACATTGTTTTTTCCACGACCCTTTTATTTTTTATTATATCACTGTGCAACATTTTTGAGGTCATGGAATGTAAACACCGTTTTGAGTGGCGTTCTTCAAAGTACTTTATAACAGTAGGAAAACCCCAGTTGGGTTTTGCTAGTTTGTTTCCAATAAGGATTTTATTGCATTTTGAAAATTTTGACTCAGGCTTGTGTATGTTGTAGGATATATTGGCCTATTGATAACCGATTTTAATATATATTTTTTTAATTTGTAGGGTTTTTGTTAGGGATGATCCCATAAAAATTATATGAAAAAATACCACCCCTAAGGGTGAAAAATTGGCGAATAAACTACAAATAGGTCTGTTTTGAAGCTATGATACGAGATATCTTCGCCAACTGTGAACTATTTTTTTTAAATTCTTTTAATAATGTGTAGGGTATATAAATTTATTGAAAAAAATCCACCCCTAAGTATGAAAAAAATGCAAATTAATTTTCATATTGGCATTTCATCAACTTCCCGTTTTGAAAATTGTTTCTTGGATTAAAAACATATACCAAGGGTTGTCCCATTCTCACTAAGACAAGATGACATGGTGTTGTGGTTTTGGAAGCTGAATGTAGGAAGAGTTTTGTTTTTAAATTAATTTTAAATCAAATAAAATATTTATTCTTATAAAAAATGTGAAAAAAATATTCAAAAATGTGTTACATTATAATCTAACTAGGTATAATTAATCAATATCCATTGCCATTGACGCTTCTAAAGATCTCGAGCATCCGGGAAGATTCAGCGGCATATTTTTTTTAGCGTCTCCATATTCAGTCTCCTTAGGATCTTCAGTGCTTTCATTTTGGAATATTTTTTGACTCCACCAATTGGTGTTAACATACTTCCGCAAGCAATGCATCCAGCTTTTTTCCCCTGTATCTTTTTTCCATTGGCATGGTTACCTGATGGAAGCGCTCTCCTTGTTCATCCGATTCAGTGGGCAATTTTTGTAAAAATTCATCTAGGTGAAAATGGAGGAAATGCAATTTTAATGTCATGGATACATTAATTTTTTGAAAATAATAGAGCATTTGGCCCACCAATTTCTTCACTTCGTCTCGCTGCACACGATTCTTCCCTAAAACGCCCTCGATTACAGCTTTTAGTGCATCCCAAGCATTCCGGTGATCCTTCTTAAGGATTTTTGTGAACCTATCGTTTGCAGTTAACTTTCTGATATCTGGTCCATTAAGCACACCTGTTAAAATTTTTATTCACAATTAGAATCAAGCGAAGTTGATATAGTTGGGCCGATAGGAAATGGCCGATACGTCATCACGGTATTATTCAAGTTCAGACGAATAACATTTAAAGAATTTAACCTTAATACGACAAGATGAAAAACAAATGCATCATGTCATCTTGAGAATGAGACAACCCATGGAATATACCTTTTAAACCAAGAAACAATTTTCAAAACGGGAAGTTGATGAAATGCCAATATAAAAATTAATTTTCATTTTTTTTCATACTTAGGGGTGGATTTTTTCAATAAATTTATATACCCTACACATTATTAAAAGAATTAAAAAAAACAGTTCACAGTTGGCGAAGATATCTCGTATCATAGCTTCAAAACAGACCTATTTGTAGTTTAATCGCCAATTTTTCACCCTTAGGGGTGGTATTTTTTTATATAATTTTTATGGGATCATCCCTAACAAAAACCCTACAAATTAAAAAAAATATATATTCAAATCGGTTATCAATAGGCCAATATATCCTACAACATACACAAGCCTGAGTCAAAATTTTCAAAATGCAATAAAATCCTTATTGGAAACAAACTAGCAAAACCCAACTGGGGTTTTGCTACTGTTATAAAGTACTTTGAAGAACACCACTTAAAACGGTGTTTACATTTTTAGTGTTGCACTGTGTATTCAAATACAAAACAAAATAACCTAAAAACGTGTTTGACAGCTGTTAAAATTACTTTCATCTTATTCTTTTAATTTTTAAGGTATAAGTTACTTAAAATCATTAAACTTACCTTCTCAATTTAAATAAAGGCACTAAAAATTAAAATTTATCATACAAACACAATTAATTGTGTTCTAAATGATATTTAAACATACACATACATACAAATACAACCTGTTACTTTTCACACAGAAATGTCACTTTACATTCGTGTTTTGCCTTGCCAATGAAAAGATTCATTTTCTAAGCAACGATGCCAATACGAAATGTGACTTTTACAAAGTGGTCGTAGAATATAGTTATTTGTTTTATAAGTGTTAAAAAGCGACTTTTTCATGCAAGTGTTTAAGTTGCTCACGAGATTGAAGAAAGCTTTTCTCACATGTGAAACAAAATATTTTTCTACAACCCTTTTATTTTTTATTATTTTCATTTTTCAAAACAAAATAACCCAAAAACGTGTTTGACAGCTGTTAAAATTACTTTCATCTTATTTTTTTAATTTTTAAGGTATAAGTTACTTAAAATCAATAAACTTACCTTCTCAATTTAAATAAATTTAAATAAATTTATTATTTATTATTTATGCCTTAAGGCACTAAAAATTAGAAGTTTTGTATACAAACACAATTAACTGTGTTCTAAATGATATTTAGACAAACATATACAAATACAAATTTTGAAACGAATGTCAAACGATGCTGTCAATTTCTTTTCACACAGACCTGTCACTTTTCACATAGAAATGTCACTTTTCATTTGTGTTTTGCCTTGCCAATGAAAAGATTCATTTTCTAAGCAACAATGCCATTCAAATTGTAACTTTTACATAGTGGTTGTAGAAAAAAGCTTTTTACCTCAAGTTTTTGGATTTTTTCCCAATTGTGGTGCCATTAACAACGAACAAGGAAAGACTCCACCAAGGTACTTTTTCAATAGAGCGGATATATCAGGGCCGTTGTTACCACTGACCACATGGTATGTGGTTATGACCAATCGGTACCAGCAGACCTTTCTGGACTGTAAGAAGGGAATCTTATTTACAAGCGACAAAGCAAAAGGAAACAGAGCAGAACATTGGCCAACCACTTTATTCTAGTGAAATAAATGAACATTAATTAAATGTATTGAAAAAAAGTAGTATTACAATCTCCCTATTATCAAGGTTTGGTTATCTCAATCAAGCAATTTTTTTTCTTGAAAACGAAGCAAACAATAAGTGTTATTAAATTAATGTCAATGGTTTAAATAAGCAAGTTATAAAACACTTTTTTAAGAGAAAAAAAATGCAATACAAACTTAAGCAAAAATATTTTTTCTATCGAGAGTTGAATGCTCATTAGGAACTAAGGAAATTAATTTTAATAGAATTTTTATCTAAGGAATTTTGGTATATTGTATTGAAAAAAACGATTTTTTTTTATTTAAATAACGCTTTGCAATATCATACAAATTTTACACTAAATATTTAAAATCTTGTGTCTACCACCCTTTTGATTTTTTACCATTTAATCATAAGTTAGTGTTTTATATTCGAGTTGTGTTAATTGTTTACTTTGTCGCAGGTGAAAAGATACAGTGAAAGCGTGAAAAAGTTTCCCTTGGAAATCGAGTTGGACCAAGCTTTAGGTTTGCAGTCGTCGCGATCGCGTATCGAGATAACGACGAACCGGTCTCACTTCGTGATGGGCGTGATGACGATCAGATGCGAGGCGTCGATTTACACGTTGTGGCGTCTCTCGGTTGAGGAGATCGTCAGGGACGATTCGCCACAATTAGCGCCCGTGTTGGGATCCACTTCGTCTCAGAGCCATACAGAGGAAGTTATAGGTAATTATGTACTAAGTTAGTTACCAATTTAACGTAATAAATAACAAACTTTCAATTACACGTCCTAACATACGGTACCTACATTTAGAAAATAATTTAGGAGAAATCTGAAATTCTCATAAAGAGTATCTAAAAATAGGTAAAGGGGCCAAAGAGTTCCTTAAGTTTAGAGAATTTCATTGTAAAATTGTAATAGCTATAGCTATTATATATAAGCTCAAAATTTCTCAAGTGTGCCACTTAAAAATTGATGGTCTTTTTCATGGAGCCTACCCAAGGAGCCCGAACTTAATAGGAGAAATTGACAAAACCTGCCCTCTAAATTGCACATTGTCAATGCGTACTGACGTCTGCTCTTTTTTATTTTATTCTTATTTTAATATTACTTCTACTAATTAATTTTATAAGAAAATGGATGAACTCTATTCTGTTGTTAAAAATGAAGTGTTTTATAAATTTATTGTAAAAACGTTTCTATGTACTATAGTACATAATAAAACATAAAACATAATAAAACAAATACAAAAGTCAAACCTATATTGTTTTTAGTAAATTTTGGCGACATTTTTAAGACTCTTATAAATATATTATAAAAGTATTTTATACTCGCGTTTCATAGCTTTAATAAAACAATTATATTAAAGTATTAATGAGAACTATTTAGTTTCTTCAAGTAAAGTGTTTCCCTAGTATCCAATATAAAAGTTCTTATAAAACTAAATTGTTTTCATAGTTATCATTTTGATATCGCTAACTACAATAAAACAAATTTATGTTGAATTAGCTGATGTGGAGTACATAATTTTCATTAGTTCAGTGTGTTCATTGTTTCAGATATAAAATTGTCGCAATGATCCCAGTGAAAAAAAAATAAGAAAAGTGGCGCATTTCGCAAAAGATTAAATATATATATATATATATATATATATATATATATATATATATATATATATATGTACATATACAGGGTGTCCCCGAACTCGCGCCACAGAGAAAAAGGGGGCGTGCCGACAGAAATGGAGATGCCAAATTTAAAAATAAAAAATTTCTAGGTAATAGTGTAAGCGAATTAAAGCAAAAAAGTGGCAGCCAATACCGAGAGCTCTTGCCTAGATTAAACTTAGGGGATTTAAAAATTGGAATAGGAATTTGCGAGTTTTTTTTATAGAAATAAATTAATAAAGTCTTTCTTTATATGAGCAACCTGAGAGGGGAAAACTTTTCTTAAAAATAAAGAAAGAATTTTTATACACATTTTTGATAAGGCTTAAGGTGAAGTGGCCTCCACCCAGTAGACAATCTTTTTGCCTCCTGTGAATATATTTCCAGAGGTGCCTCGGTTGAACTTGCCTCCAGCGACGTTGCCGCACTGACCCTCACATGTATTTATATTATTTTTCATTTTAAGCCTTTTTATGTATTTCGATGATTGCGTTTATCGGTTAATTGGACTCCTCCAAAATATATTTATTTCATTAAATGTATAAATACATTTATAATTTAACATTTAAGGTGTGGATTGGTTTCTTTTATTAAAAATGCATCTAATGATGTCATTAAGTGGTAATTTGGATGTACACATTTAATTGGCTTTTAAATATAAATTATATAATATATTTAGATATAAATGGTAGGTATATCTATAGATACATCATTTTTGTTCTTTAAAAAGGGTTTTTAAACAAATATTATAAATTCACTAAAAATTGAAATTTTTGTGTACCTACTTATCTATCGTTTGCTTTGGAAAAAATTTATAATTTTTCAAAATCTACAACTACAAAATTTTCTTTTTGCTTTTAACTAAACGATCAGAGGTAAAAACATGTTTTAAGAATGTAATGTAGTTTAAACATTTTGCCATAAATAAAGTTTTAAGTAGATAATTAAAATAGTGCGTAATAATTGTAATAAAAACTAAATTAGAAAAAAACACTAACAGCACCTTTAATTTAAATTTAAAAATAACTACGGCATTATATGTTTTTGCGTTAATTTTAATAAAACAAAAGTGTATTATGTTATTCAGTAAATGCAAGAACCATGCCTTGCAATAAAAATAATTGTAATAAATAAAATTTTAGTAAATTAAATTTAATAAATAATTTGCATCAAGGTAAAAATAGTACCCATTGATAATTATCATTATTATTATTATAATAAGCTAATAAGATATTATAAATAAAAACATGGTTTATTAGCTTTTTTAATATGGATTCTATAAAATGTCTGAATTATTCAAAAAGTGAACTATCCCTGCTGAAAAAGACGGGTAATATCGGATGATTGCGGATAAAAAAGCAAGCTAGTTTTATGTCCATTTATATCTGTTTTTATCCGACATATCTAGTGATGCCGTGAGATGAGACGAGACGAGAAAAGTCCTTCTCTCGTCTCGTCTCGTGCAGCGAGAGAAAATGGTAAAAGTACCTAAGTATGAATACAAAAATTATTTGGAATTAAATACGAATTCGTTTATATTTTTTTATATAGAAATTTAAACTGGAAATAAAAAAAAAATGTGTGCCAAAACCACACTAATAAAGTAAGACTTTTTAAGCCGAAAATGTTGCGCATTTGAATCAAATGGTTGGAGTAGTTACATCTAGTATTATACACCTATAATAGGTGTTTCTTTTAACTTGAGACAGCTCAATATCTCGTGAAATACGCATTTCACAGAAAAATGTCTTAAATAAAAGGTTAATGTGAACAAAGGAAACATTATTTGGTGCTACCGCTAGCCACCCCCTACCCCTCTTTAAGGTTGAACCGGGGGGTAACTTTAGAAAGTCAAATGGAATGACCCGATTTTTTTACAGATTTTGGTAGTACATAAAAAAATGAATAACTTTTATTTGAAACTGTTTTTCAATTTATCAACAGACGGCGCTGTAATTCAAAATTTAAGAAAATTGGGTTTCCTTGTAAAATGTATTATTTGAAACGTTTGAAAAACAAAAATTAACATTAAACAATAGTCGGCTCTGAAAACAATTTATAACAAATGTTCGAAATGATAATTTTTTTATGTACTACCAAAATCTGTAAAAAAAAGGGTTATCCTATTTGACTCTCCAAAGTTACCCCCCGTTTCACCCTTAAGGAGGGGTATGGGGTGGCTAGCGGTAGCACCAAATAATGTCCCCTTTGGTCACATTAACCTTTTATTTAAAACATTTTTTCGTAAAATGCGTTTTTCTCGAGATATTGAGCTGTCTCAAGTTAAACGAAACAGCCTGTATCGGCGCAGTAGTTTTCAATGGATAAAATCATTTGATCCATCCATCTGAAAACTACTGCGCATATATGATGTAACTACTCCACATAGATCCAACCATCATGTACCTACTGCGCATGTCCGTCATTTTGAATCCGCAATTTTGTTTTTTTTAATGGATATCAAATTCTGAATCAGGGACCCCATAAATATCTGAATACTAAATTTTACCCAAACCATTAAAGCCGAACGACTAATTTTCGTCATATTGGATCAGCCATTTTATTAAAAAAAAAAAATTGGATATCAAATTTGTAATCAGGCCCTCAAAAACCACATGTTGTTGATAAGTTTATTGAATAAGCAATGCTTATTAAGCATACGGGTTTTTTTTTAAGTATAAGGAGTGCCATAGATGTGCTTATACAGGGTAAATTTTAAAAATTATTATTATTTTATCAGTAATTTTTTCTTGGTTAACGTTAAGTTGTGTTATAAAATAATACAACGTAACCAGGAACAAATTTTGTTTATTATGAAATGCGAATAATGTTCTCATTGGTCCAAATAAATATCGTAATTTATGTGCAAAATTATAATTTTTATGTAAAAAAAAATTGTTTTTTATAATCGAGAGAACGAGAGAGATCGAGAGAAACGAGAAATTCTCGAGCGAGAGAGGGCATTCTCTCGTCTCGTCTCGAGCCTTTTTTCGAGAGAAAATCGCCCTCTCGTCTCGTCGAGACGAGACGAGACGAGACGAGAGGCGAGAATCTCTCGTATCGGCGGCATCACTAGACATATCTGATTTTATCCGGCATGTCGGTTTTTATCTGAAATTGCGGGTATAAATATTATCCGCGAACGTCGGGTTTTATCTGTTTAGTTCTATGTCTGCTTGCATCTGGTTTCATCCGCAAATACCTGTATAAGGGTTTATATCTGCATTCACCCGGTTTTATCTGATTTTATCCGCAAACGTCTGCTTTATCCGATTGCACCTGCAAACATCTGCTTTTATACGTGAAGATCTACTTTCATCCGCGAACATCTATTTTAATCCACAAACATCTGATTTCATCCGCAAACATCTTCTTTAGTCCGCAAAAGTCTGCTTCATCCGATTTCACCTGCAAACATCTGCTTATATCCACAAACATCTGTTTTAATCCGCAAACATCTAATTTAGTCCGCAAAACTCTAATTCATCCGATTTCACCTGCAAACATCTGCTTTTATCCGCGAAGATCTGCTTTTATCTGTGAACGTCTGCTTTAATCCGCAAACTTCTGCTTTTATCCGCAAACATCTGCATTTATCCACGAACGCCTGCTTTCATCCGCGAACATCTGCTTTTATCCGCAAACATCTCATTTTATCCGCGAACATCTGCTTTTATCCGCGAACATCTGCTTTCATACGGTTTCACCCGCAAACATGCTTTTATCTGCAAACATCTGATATTATCCGCAAACATCTGCTTTTATCCGCAAACATCTTATTTTATAGGCAAACATCTGCTTATATCCGCAAAGATCGGCTTTTATCTTTGAACATCTGCTTTAATCCACAAACATCTGTTTTAATCCGCAAACATCTAATTTAGTCCGCAAAACTCTAATTTATCCGATTTCACCTGCAAACATCTGCTTTTATCCGCGAAGATCTGCTTTTATCTGTGAACATCTGCTTTAATCCGCAAACTTCTGATTTTATCCGCAAACATCTGCATTTATCCGCGAACGCCTCTTTTAATCCGCAAACATCTGTTTTAATCCGC